ATAGCAGTCTTCCAATATCTCAGGGGTTGCCACAAAGAAGAAGGAGTCAAATTATTCTCCAAAGCACCTGAGGGCAGGAGAGGAAGCAATGGATGGAAACTAATCAAGGAGAGAAGCAACTTAGAATTAAAGAGAAATTTCTTGGCAATGGGAATAATTAATTAGTGGAACAACTTGCCTCCAGAAGTTGTGGAATGGAATGGACCTTGGAGGTCTTCTAGTCCAATTGCCTGCTCTACCATTGTAGACAAAGGGTTATCCAATCTCTTAAAAACTTCCAGTATTGGAGTAGTCACATTCCATCCCATTCCAAAATGCAGTGAGCAGAAAGCAGTCAAGAGATACTCAATCAAAGCCCTGTTCTCACCTGCTGCCTTTTCTCCTCCGCCTGGCTCAGCAGGAAGCCTTCGGCCAAGGCCACCGCCTGGGAGCTGGTCTCCGCCTTGCATTCCCGCACCCAGTTCTTTATCTCCGGGGGCAGGACGGCCAGGAACTGCTCGAGGATCACCAGATCCAGCATCTCAGCCTTGGAGTGCCTCTCCGGCTTCAGCCACTGGTGGCAAAGATCGTGGAGTTGGCTGCAAACCTCTCGGGGACCCTTCGCATCCTGATAGGCGAACTGCCGGAATTGTTCTCGCCGGACATCAGAACTGGGCACGTCCTTGATCGTGACCTTCTGCACCCCGGGTTCTCCACTGCTCGAACCCCGGAGGTGATAATTTGTTTTGGCCACTGGGCAGACCTCCTTCTTCCCGGATTTCTTCCCTGATCTGTGATCCCGCTCGGCCATGTTTGGCCTCTCCTGCAAGGCCATTTCTGACGGCATTGTTCAATGCCTTCTCTTCCTGCCAAAGACTGGCCCGGACAGCAGGGTGCCAAGTCCTGCTGAGCCCCCAAAGGGCTTGGATGGACCCTCGCGACAGAGGACACCACTATGCAGTTTTTCCCCAGCTCTTCTGCCTGCAGACAAGCAAAAAAACCAACACCTGATTCACATGTTGCGGATAAAAAACCTTAAACCCTAGTTTGCAAAAGACGGCTGCTGCGTTCACAGGATCTGTCTGAACAAATAAGCCACAATTAAGACCCCGCCCTCTCCAGGGTGATGGGTAAAAATTAAGCTAGGGTGGGGATGGTGAGGGGTTAGAACTGCCCTAATTATTTACCTTCGGATAGTTGCAACCAGGCCTCGCACACCTTGGCCCATTTCTTCTGCTGGCAAGGCAATAGCAATAGCAGTTAGCAGTTAGCCTTATATACCGCTTCATAGGGCTTTCAGCCCTCTCTAAGCGGTTTACAGAGGCAGCATATTGCCCCCAACAATAATCCGGGTCCTCATTTTACCCACCTCGGAAGGATGGAAGGCTGAGTCAACCCTGAGCCGGTGAGATTTGAACA